GTTACCCTAGGAACGACATGATAAACCATAATTTACGATCTTGCGCGACATAATTTGCGATCTGGCCTGCTAGATTTCACGCATTCACAACGGCGGTATACTCATCATAATTTCTAAGTAAAACCGTTGCCTTAACAACGTCGGAATTTGATTTCATAACAACTTATGTCCTTGCAAATTCCTGCCGTATTTTACGAATAGAGCATGTCCTATGTCGGCGATAGATGAACGATCTCGTGGCCGATACCTTCAGTGTCCAATAGGAAAGCTGTATTTTGACACGAAAATATCAATGCGTACTTGATTCATTTACTTCGATTTTGAAAGCGTTTAGTTTTTATTTTGTAAATAGCTATTGTGTATATATAGCGGCGTGAATAAATGATTAGTTTAGGAAAGGCAGTTCTGTAATTTTAAAATATTCAAATTTCCGAAAAAAATTAAATATGCATTTTTTTTCAAATTTTCGTCATTTTATCTGAAATATCAAAAAAATTCAAAATTTCCAAAAAATTACAAAAAAATTCAAATCGTTTTATTTAAAAAAATTCGAAATTTGCAAAAATACTCAAAATTAAAAAAAAAATAGTTGGGTGTATGGCATCGTGCCTTGAAGCAAATTGCTGGAACTTCCCGTACCGTAACGAAATGATCGAGGAATATTAAATGTTTTAAAATAGATTATTATAAATATTATAACATTGTCTAATATTTATAAGAATTATATAAACTGAATTGGAAAGTTGAAATTATTTGTTTAAAGTATATTAGAACAGAATTAAAATAAAAATCTGAATTATTTTCGATACACAAAAAAATTTTTTTTTAAAAAAAAAAAAAAAAATTGAAGCAAGAATTTTTTTTTCCAAAATCAATTGTTTCGGTAAAACAAGCAGAAAGTTATTTGAATCATCTGAATCGGACGCTTAGTTCTCTCAAAAACTGCCATTTTTTGCACATTTAGCACTGTATCTTCGAAATGGGCTGGGCCTGCCTTTGCCAAAAACTAATTACCACTTCTCCCAATCATTACTAGTTGAATGTTTTTAGATCATACAAATCATACCAATGCCGATAGCTTATCTAGATCTTTCTTCGATTTACAAAAACTAGCCTTAGATACTTCTAATAATGATATTTCTGATGATGCAGTTCAAATGTCACTTTTATGGAAATGCCGCGTAGATCAAGAAATTAACTTTGAAAATTTTTTAAATACCATTAGTTCATCAGTAATAATTAACAATAATATTTAAGAATCGAATAAGATTTTTTTAACTTCTATTGCAAACAAAGAAAATGCCTTATTATTTGTAATAAAAAATTAACCATCCGACGAAAAATTGAACAATTTCTTAGATTTCTTTCAGCATACGAACTTTAACGAATATCTCGATAAATATAAAAAGCATCAATATTTCACCATGAATTTTGGTCAAAAGCCTGTTTTTTATTCAATTGTAAATAATATGAACTCTCAACCTTCACTCGAAGACTTTTTTCACTGTTTTTATAACTTAAGAACATATTTAATTCAACAAAATATAAATTAATTGCTATTCCTTCTCCTATTCAATTTAAAAGTTTTTGTCACATTTTCTTAGAAAATTTTAGAATGTTGATACGCTATATTTTTAAAAACACTGATATACAAGTTAAAATTTACCATGATAAATTAATTGACAATTTAACCACAGAGGAAATAAATCAAATTTTGGAACAATTTCATAAATCTCAACTAACGGGAAGACATTTAGGGCATAAAAAACATTTAATAGAATTAGAAATATTTATAAGTGGCCGAAAATGCGGAAACAAATATAAGAGTACGTCAAAAAATGCACGGAATGCCAAAAAAATAAAATATCTAAATTAACTAAACAACCCTTAGTAATTACAACTACCGCTAGAGAACCTTTTGAAAAAGTTTGCATTGAAATATGCGGTCCAATCCAATTTCTGAGTCGGAAAATAAATACCTCTTAACATGCATTTGCGATCTCACTAAATTTGCGGGCGCAATACCCCATTCCTAACCAAGAGAGCGCAACGGTTGCAGACGCAGTTGTATCAGAAATTGTTTTAAAGTTTGGTTTTCTGGAAGAAATATTGTCCGATCAGGGAAATACGTTCACCAGCAACTTATTTAAAAATGCTTGCAAATTATTAAAAATAAAAAAAATAACAACTTTTTTATATAGACCGGTGTCGAATGGCTCATGCGAGAGGAAACAAAAGGATTATGTACAAAATTTAAGAACATATATTAATAAATCTCAAACCGATTGGGATAGGTGCATTAAGTATGCCGTTTTTATTCATGACACCACTATTCATGACGCAACCAACTACACGCCTTTCGAATTGCTATTTGGTAGAAAAATAGAGTTACCTTTGTCTTTAACAAAATCTAACAATTATTTATCACTTATGTTCATGAATTGAAATCCAGATTGCTACATGCTAATAAACTTGCTTGTGAAAATTTAATACGTAGTAAGGAACAAACTAAATCACATTATGATCAAAATTTAAATCCACAAACTTTCAAAGTTGATGATTTTGTTCTTCTAATAGACAAAACCCCATATCCGCGTAAATGTAAAAAACTTTTACCGTTATGGAAAGGGCCTTTTAAAATTCTAAATTTCGATAATATTATTAGTACAATTTTAGTTAATAA